TTTTCTTCTTGTTCTAAATATAAATAATGAACTTAATGATTAATTATAATACTTATAACTATCTTTTCAACTCTTACAGTTTTGAGTGCTTTCTTATCTAATTATAAACAAATGTGAAAAAAAAAAAATGATTTAAATATTTTATAATAGACATTTATATTAATATATATATATATATATATATATATATATATATATATATATATATATATATATATATATATATATATATATATATATATATATATATTAATATAAATGTCTATTATAAAAAAACCTCCATATATCTTTTACATTATTGAATAAACCCTGTAACCCATACCATGATGGATTTAGAAAATTTTCTTTTTACAATAGAGTACTCTTGGTGCTTTTCGATATTTATTTATTTTTATTTATTTATAGATTATTTATAGGAATATGTTTGGATTTTTATCACAATCAGTAAGGTCGAATAGTTTTTCATCAGTTGTAATGATTTTTTTCCAGTTTTTCTTAATAAATCCGTAAAGTTTTTTTGATTTTATAAACCTTTTATTGGTTGTTCAATGTAATAATGCATGTAAAAATCCTTTTGATACTTTTTTAAAATAAAATTTTTTATCAATATAACATATAATTGATTTTCTTGATATCTTAAACTTTTCTAGATAACTCAAAAATAATTGGTGGTTTGTCTTTTTATTAACAAGTTTTTCATCTGAAAAATTTGACATAAATTTTGCTTTAATGGTCGATGCCAAAGTTCAGCTTCTTTGACATTTAAATCATCTTTTCTTTTATTTCTCGCTACCTTATTTTTAACTTTACTAATGGTGGTTAATAAAACTTTGATTCTTTTTCTAAAAATTTTTTAATTATTCTTTACAAATATCCAAGTCATACCAACAATAAAATATGTCCTTTTTTTTTACAAAATGCTTTGTTTACATAAATTCTGTTAACTACTTTAAATATGTGATTAAATTATATAAATAATATCGTTAAATATTGTTTATATAAAAAGTAATCAAGTTTCAAAAGTGTTTCATTTCTATCCCGCAAGACTGTATATGAATTACATCTTAATATATTTCTATACCTATCTATCTATATATATCTATCAATATCTGTCTATCCATCTATCTATCCATCTATATATATATATATATATATATATATATATATATATATATATATATATATATATATATATATATATGTATATATATGTATATATATATTTATATATATATATATATATATATATATATATATATATATAATTATATATATATATATAATTATATATATATATAATTATATATATATATAATTATATATATATATAATTATATATATATATATAAAAATTTAAATAAAAAAAATTTTAGGGGTCACTCAAGACCTTTAAACATCAAACGAGTCCCTAATATTTTGAAAAAAATGTTGGGTCTCAAAAGAAGTGAAATTTTATAAAAATTTTAAAAATAATAATCATTTTATATAAATATTACTAGTTTAAATTTTATGGCCTAAAAACTGTAATTTTTTAAAAAAAAATTAAAAGTACATATTTTCAAAGTTTTTTTTTAAACAAACTTATTTAATTTGTGTTTCCATAAATTGTTTTTATTATTTTTGAAATTTTCATAAAATTTCACTTCTTTTGAGACCCAACATAATCTACTTTTTAAAAAATTAAACATCCCTAATATTTTTACAAAATATTAGGGATGTTTAAGGGTGTTGAGTGACCCCTAAAATATTTTTTTGTTCAAAAAATTTTTTAATTTAGTTTTAATTTATTACATAGAACACATTTAGGGGGTAGCAGCAGACAATTTCAAAAAAAGTTGTTTTAATTGCCACTCTAATATATATATATATATATATATATATATATATATATATATATATATATATATATATATATATATATATATATATATATATATATATATATATATATATATATATATATATATATATATATTACCTCACCTAAAGACAAAGCTGAATTGTTTGCTAAGAACTTTTCATCAATATCATCTCTTGACTCCACTAGTTGCGTTCTACCTGATATAGCCGTCAAACAGGTTGATCCATTGCTCGACATCCATATCACTCCAGCTTCTGTATCTAAAGTGATTTCCTGCCTAGACTCCTCTACAGCTTGCACGGACAACAAACTTGTTATAGTCTTGCAGAAGTGTTCTCCAGAGCTGTCGTCTATCTTTTCGAAACTATTCAACAAGTGTTTATCAGAGTCTTGTTTTTCAGCCTACTGATAAGCAGCATCTTATGGTGTATCTGGAAACATCTTTAAGATTATTGAATCCTTTCTTTTCAATCGTAGTATAAAAGTTGTCCTTGATGGACAGCACTCTTCTTATTAATCTGTAACCTCAGGGATTCCTCAAGGTTCAATCCTTGGCCCTATACTCTTTTTAATTTACATTAACGATCTTCCAGATATTCTCACATCTAAGGTGGCATTGTTCGCTGATGATACTACCATTTATTATTGACACGATAAGAAGCTAACTCCCTCTGATTGCTTGCAGGGGGCATTTGAGCTTGAAAAGGATCTCACTTCTGCTACAGCATGGGGCTTACAGTGGCTGGTGAACTTTAATTCAGATAAAACTCAATTTTTTTCAGCCAATCGTTACGGCAATAATTTAGACCTTCCTTTATTTATGAACGGTAATGTACTCGATGAGTCATCTACCCTTCATCTTCTAAGATTAACTCTCACTTTTGATCTTTCTTGGAAACCTTATATCAAATCCGTTGCAAAATTAGCATCTGCTAAAGTTGCATCTCTTTATCGAGCTCGTCACTTTCTTACTCTGGATTCTATTCTCTATCTCTATAAATCTCAAATCCGACCTTGTATGGAATACTGTTGCCATATCTGGAGCGGATCTTCTAATGATGCCCTTTCTCTTTTATACAAGGTGCAAAAAGGCGTTGTAAACATAGTTGGACATGCTCTTGCAGTCAACTCTCAACCTCTGTCACATCGTCATAATGTTGCTTCTCTTTCTCTTTTCTACAAATACTATAATGGGCACTGCTCTAAAGAGGTATCGTCTCTTGTGCCATCTACTAAAATTCATTCTCGTGTTACTCGTCATTCAATTAAGTCTCATCCTTTTTCTGTTACTGTTCCTAAGTGCTCCAAAAACTCTTATTCGTCTAGTTTTTTTTCTCGAACATCAGTTCTTTGGAATTCGCTTCCTTCATCTTGCTTTCCTGATTCATTTAATTTGCAATCTTTTAAGTCATCTGTCAATCGTTAACTTGCTCTACAATCTTCATCTTCTCTCTTCCAGTAACTTCCAACACTAATTAGTGGTTGCTTGCAGCCTTGTTGGAAGCGAAGATGTTAAATATATATATATATATATATATATATATATATATATATATATATATATATATATATATATATATATATATATATATATATATATATATATATATATATATATATATATATATATGTTAGGGTGGCCCTTAAAACAACTTTTTGAGAAAAACCTGCTCCCGCCTCCTAAATGGTTCTATCTAATACAAAAACACTACGTTAAAAATTTTTTTGAATAAAAAATATTTTAAGGGATCCCTCAAGACCCTTGAATATTTAATGAGTCCCTAATATTTTCAAAAAAATGTTTTTAAAAAATATGTCAACCTGGTATTCAAATGAAGCAAAATTATATAAAAATTTCAAAAATTATATTCAATTATATTCATTTTAAAAAAATTTTAACTTATTTATCATAATTATCATAAAAATACATAATATATGCATTTTTTATTAAAAAACGTAATTTTTTAAGTAATAAAACCAAAAATAACATTTTTTTTCAAAATGAATATTGTTTTTCAAATTTTTATATAATTTTACAAAGCAGTATCTAATTTTGTCTAAATATAATTTTTACAAAAATATATTTATAATTTCCTTAAATAAGTACAAAAGCATTATGAAATGTGCAGATAATCATTCAATCGTATTCAGAAGATAAATTTTCTTAGATATTTACAAATAAGAATAAAATAATAATCTTAAACACCATTTTAGTATACATTTAATATTATAAGTATACCATATAAATATATATATATATATATATATATATATATATATATATATATATATATATATATATATATATATATATATATATATATATATATATATATATATACACTGTTAAAAAAATATCGCGTTTTTTACGGAAATTTCCGGCAGCAGATTTTCCAGAAAGTTTCCGTTGTTTTACGGAAAAATAAAGTGTTGAAGGAAATTTTCGTATAAATTACGGAAAATATCTATCATCGTAATAACAGATATCTCCGTATTTAAACGGATATTTCCGTTAACATGTGACTGATTTTTCTGTAAAATAACGGAAAATTTCTGGAAAATCTGCTGCCGGAAATTTCCGTAGAAAGCGCAAAATTTACTTAACAAAAAAACTCTTCTAAAAATGTATTCCTTAAACGATAAAAAAAAATTAATTACATAAATATATTCTGCAATTATTAATGACATAAAGTGCTCTAAATATTGCATAAAAAAAAGTTAAATAAAACTTTATATATATATATATAGATATTATATATATGCTTTTAGAACAAATAACTGTTATCTTTCTTTCTTTTTGCGTTTTTTCTCGCATTCTCTTGATTATAGTCAAACATATCTCTAAACACAAAATAAATTACATAATCATGACATAGATTATAAATTAAAATCTGTGAAATTAAGAAAGATAAGCATATATTGTGAGCCTTCTTTCACTTTTTGCATAAGCTTATTCTATCTTTTTAAATTTTTTTAAGAAAAAAATTAAACGAACTCTTTAACTTTTTATTAAAATATAAATATTATTATTACATTTTTATATATATATAAAAATACATTTACTATATTTCTCTCTACATAGTATCCAGATTCAATACAATGCTTTTTCAGTGCTTCCAGATTCCATATTTATACTTTATGCGTGGATTTTAACTTTTTAAACTTTCCATATTATAGCCAACCATATACCTAACAACACAAATATAAATGCTTTAATACAAATGAGTGAAAATACAAATGAAAATATAAATACAGCAAAATCACGAATACAAATGAAAATATGAATACAGCAAAATTGTAAATCTTTGTCCGGAGTTTAAGACATCCAATTCTTAAAACAAAAAATATATTGCTTGTTTTAAGAAATAAACTTCCTATCCTGCAATTTATTTCTTAAAACAAGAAATATATTTCTTGTTTTAAGAAACAAATTGGGGGATAAGAAATTTATTTCTTAAACAAGATAAATATTTCTTGTTTAAAGAAGTAAATGTCTTAAAATATAGACTAAGTTTTGAGATTTTGCTGTGAAGAAATGCTACTTGTAATACTTTTCATCAGTTAAAGATTTATTGTTTAAGATTTATTAGTTAAATCAAATGGATTACTTGGCATTAATTAGAAACTGTTTTAAAATATCTTTTTTCTTAATTTTTTTTTTTCACATCATTTTGTTAGAACTTCAATGAAAAAAAAAATTTTTTTCTAAAAAGAAAATATATACTTTTATCTCTTTTTCTTTACGTATGAATGTATCTACATATAGAGTATGCAGTGACTCCTACATCAGCACAACTTGCTTATTTCCAATTAACTCTAACTGATTCCATAGGCGATCATATATCCTGCAATTAAAGTGCACACAGATGGTTTCAGAAAATAGAGAGTGTGATCCCACATATATTGCTATCAGATCTAGAAAACATTGTTTTATTTTATGTTGCAGATTTTAAAATATTTTAAGATATTGTTAAAAACATTTCATATTTTTAAATTTTGCTTAATTATATCTTTAACTATAAATACTAATATATAAATAATTGTGCATTTTAATTAAATTTTTTGGATAAAATATCTAAAACACTAAAATTTTAAATAAGAAAGAAAATTAAGATGCAATTTTGAGATAACAAATAAAACATTCTCAAATTTTATTTATATAAAAATACATAGTTTATACACACACACATAATATATGTGTGCATAAACTATGTTTTTTATATAAATACATATGTATATATACATATACTATATGTATGTATGTATGTATGTATGTATGTATGTATGTATGTATGTATGTATGTATGTATGTATGTATATATATATATGTATATATATATATATATATATATATATATATATATATATATATATATATATATATATATATATATATATATATATATATATATATATATATATATATATATATATATATAAAAGGTTAGCAAACTATTTTCCATTCTCGTTATTTAAAAAAAGAAGTTGAAAAAAAAAGAAGAATGAAAATAAATTTATCCTTCCTTAACTGAAACCCTTATATGTGTTATCAATTCCCTTACGAGTTCTCCCTAAATCAGTCTATGTATCGTCTCACCCCTAAATCAGTGTGACATCATAGCACTAAAGTATGCATTACTATGTATATATGTTTATATATATATATATATAAAAATATATATATATATACATATATATGTATATATATATATATATATATATATATATATATATATATATATATATATATATATATATATATATATATATATATATATATATATATATATATATATATATATATATAGATATATATATATAGATATATATATATATGTATATAAACTTATATATATATATATATATATATATATATATATATATATATATATATATATATATATATATATATATATATATATATATATATATATATAAATACAGGAACTATTCTAGAAAAAAATGTAAGCAACGGCACCTCACACACTGGCTTGATCAGTATGATTATTTTCCTAAAAATAAGCCATATTTGCCAAAAAACACAATATTTTCTGAAAAAACATATTTTGAGAAGAAACAATGTTTTTTGTAAAAAAACAACAACATCTAATTATGGTCAAAAACAGTCTAGAATAGCCCCTGATGTATATATATATATATATATATATATATATATATATATATATATATATATATATATATATATATATATATATATATGCAGAAAATGCTGAGATCTTAGGATGATGTTTACATTTGATAGGTTCTACGATAATAAATGTACTATAAAACCATCATTTAAAGTAATAAATCTAAAAATCACTTTAGTAAATAAATAAATACTTCATAGCATTTACTCTACAAGAGATATGCATACTAAAATACGAAGAACATTCAAGCCTTATACCTACAACTTAAATTTATTATATTATATATTAAATGACTAAATACTTTTCTAACTAAAAATGCATCTTATTTTCATTTCTGGAAGTTATTCTGATACACCGAAGCACTTGAATTTTAAGAAAAATATTAAATATAAATCCAGAATGATTTAACAACAATAGACAAAACAAACAATACCTTTAAAGCAATAACTTAAGGCCTTCACATTTTATTTATTTGTTAGAAATTGCCATTTTTATTTTTAATCCATACTATAGAGCATCACTTGATTCTATAGTATCAACAATAACTTACTATATATATAGTCTTTTTACAATGTTGGACTGCTAGAAATAAGGTTTACGTTCAAAATCTTTTAGTGAACTGATCAAAACTGTATGTTTTGTATTTAAATTGTATGTAAAACTGATTTAGTTTTACATACAATTTTCAAAATCTTTTAGTGAACTGATCAAACTTTTTCTAAAAACAATCAGAAATAATGAAGAAAAATTATAGCAGATGTATTTATTTTATATAGAATTTTACTATTCTGCATGACTATCCTGCATGAATATTATAAACAAATAAATTTAATAATGTATTCTAATCATAGTTGTAATTTCTGGGGTAATCTTTATAAATTTGTTTTTAAATTTTTTTTTTTAATATTTACTTGTAGATAACTTAAATATCTTATTCATAAAGTTATTGTAATTAAATATTAATAAAAATGTAAATTGTTATAAAAAGTTTTAAAAACGATGAAAAATTTATCGGTCTTATCATAAAAAAGCACTAGTGCTTAAGTAGTGCTATTTTAAAATTTTTTTTTTTTTAAGCTACATATTTTAACATGTGAACTTTTTCCTTGGCTTTGAAATTATCTATTTTATATATAACATGTTATGTGAGTGCACTTCCATAAATTTAAAATCACTCAAAATTGAACTAAGAATGCACAAGTCTTGTGTCAAGAACCCTACTAAACATAGTCTCGTTCTAAGCAATCCAGGGACCAAATAAAGCTCATGTAATTTTAAAATTAAAAAGAACAGAACAGTTTATATTAAAACGCCTGGTGAAATTTCTTCGCCCTGCAAATGAAACTTCAGAACTTATTTTTGGAGATAAATGCGTAAATAAAAATAACTTTTAAAAATCTTTAACATGTATTTTCTATATAAGTACAACGGAAATTTCCGTATTTGAAAATTTAGCTACAAATACGGAAAATTTCCGTACATAATCGATGGATACATCCATATATGGACATACGGATACTTTCCGTTGAAATAACGGAATAAATTTCCGTTTTTTAACGGAAGTTTTTAACAGTGTATATATATATATATATATATATATATATATATATATATATATATATATATATATATATATATATATATATGTATATATATATATATATATATATATATATATATATATTTACATGTGTGTGTATGCACACACACACACTAGAATTGGTTATATTTAGCTAAAAATTCTAAAATTGCTTTTTAATGTGACAAGTTTGTATGCTAAAATTTTACTTTGGCTTCCATAATTAAACCTTTTTGCAACGGAAATTTCCGTGTTTCAAAATTTATTTTACAAGAACGAAAATTTCCCTTCAATTTTGTTAAATGGATACTTTCCGTACAAATAACGGAAACTAATTCCATAAAAGTACGAAATTTTTAACAGTGTAGCAATGTGTCACATCATATTCAAAGGAAAAGGGATTAGTGCCCACATGGTTCCAAAAGAAGCATTTGCACGAGTTCCAAATCTTCTAATCTCCACAAATGGCAAATGCAGTTAAGATCACAGTACACTTCTAAATGCATATAATATGTTCGACCACAATTTAGAAAGAAAAAAAAAAAATAAAACCGCCTGTTGTTGTCCTATCTGATGGTCATTCTTCAAGATTTAACAGTGATGTGTTGACATTTTTTAGAAGCAAATATATTTGACTTTTCATTGCTCCATCTGACACAACTGGCGTTACCTAGCTCCTTGATCAAATCAATCAGAAATTGCACTCTGAGTACCAAAGTGCTAAATCTGCTTTTATTCTTCGTTTATGACAATCAACAGGGAATATTCATTCATATACTTGCAGAGTTAACAAGATTTAACAGTGATGTGTTGACATTTTTTAGAAGCAAATATATTTGACTTTTCATCGCTCCACCTGACACAACTGGCGTTACCTAGCTCCTTGATCAAATCAATCAGAAATTGCACTCTGAGTACCAAAGTGCTAAATCTGCACTTTATTCTTCGTTTATGACAATCAACAAGGAATATTCATTCATATACTTGCAGAGTTATGCCAAGAAACCCTGACAGAGTGTGTATCAAAACAAACAATTATAAATGCAGCTAAAAATGTTAGGATTTCAGTTAAAGGGCTCAGTGTTGAGTAAATGCAGAAAGATAAGTTCTAACGAGCCGAGCTGTGTAATAAAAATACTGAAAATAATCAATCAATAACAGCACTAACAATTTCATCTCCAAAAATGTTCGTTATGGCTCAGCAAGCTATTGAAAACATAAATACGAAAGTGTCATGGAAGCTTTCTAAACAATATTTGATAAATCAATTTCACTTGAAGAAATACCTGATTTGTTCCCTGTTACCAAAGTTGCATCTAAAGTGAACAAGGAAAATGTTAGAGTTACTTATGTCTACGGCTCAATGGAGGGGAAAAAATAATAGAAACGGTTTCGTCAATTAAGGAAGACAAAGTTAAAAAGGAACAAATTAATAAAAAAAGGAAATCTATGCAACAAAAGCAAATTGAAGCATTTTTTAAATGTAAAAAAGAATGTATACGTGGCAAGAATGTTTGTCCTACAACTAAGCTTCGTGAATGCTTGTGTTGCCATAACGTTTTAAAATATACATGCAGTAAAGCATCATGCCGAGGTGAAGCAGGCTCAAGACTAAATATGATCAAATTTTGTGGAAGAAAACCAAAAAATGGTTTTAGTTTGAATCTGATGAAGATAACGTTGAAAACTTCTTTTCTACCTCTGATTCTTTCCAGAATACAACGTATCATTCTGCTTTCGCTGACTTTAGATTATAGCTTTTTTATATACTTTTTGTTCGTTATAGAATTTTTTTAAATTTGTTAATGTTACATTTTTTTTTTTTTAATTTAAAACCTGACGTTCTGAGATCCCACTGCATTCTGAGGTCCCTTTACCTGTGTATGTAAACAAACAAAATAATATTTTTTGTGTCTACAGCTCAATTAGTATATATATCAGCTCAATTTTAGTACTCAGTATTAGTACCCATAAATATCAGCTCAACTATTAGTACCCAAACCTACCCGTGTAAAAGTGGGCAATATTGGCCAATATGATCATGCCAATACGGCCCTAATATCGGAGCAATATCGGCATGCTAATATTTGCCAATATTGTAGCAATATTGTTTACCATTATTGGCGGAATATTGCATATCTTGTCCGATATCTTGTCGCATATCTTGTTCGCACCATAATTGCACCAATATTTCTTGCTACTAGGGCATTATACATAATTTTGGTAACAGCTGTCATAAACTTATCATGTCATGAAGTTTATATCATTTTACGCAAAATTCCACAGAAAAGTATGAATAATCGAGGCAAATTTATTTCAAGTTATGTGTTTTTCATTTTTGTACTATTTATATTATTGTTTGAAAAAAATTGTTTTGGTAAAATGTGTTTTTGTTGAATTTTTTTTATTATAAGTGAACCACCTTTTAAAAAAAAAAATTTAATTTCTTAAAAGTTTATTAATTTATAGGATTCAATTTAATTCAGAAGAACATTGGACAAAAGCTTTAAAGTATATGCTCACTAATCTGAAGTGGGGTTTGGCTTGGGTATCATCGCAATTTGCTGACAAATTAACGTGAAGTTTTTGTGTAATATTATATATACGAGGTATGCAGTTTCAAGTTTGTGCTACAAAGTTAAAATTCAATCAAAGATTACATAAGATTACAAAATGGACAGTCTGTATCATATTAAAATTTTCTTTAGAAAATAAATATTTTATTACTCCAAATTTTAATATTTTGTCTATTTTTTTATTTTATTATTATTAAGTTTTCGTTGTTATTTAACTTACTTTAAACTTGTAACAACTTCATAAATTTTCTAAGGTTGTAATTAAATTTTTAGCAATTCATGAAAGTTGTTGGTCCATTTAACAAAGCAACCTAAAAAATTTCGAGTATGAAAAAAGATGATCGTTCGACCGGCAGTTTAGCTTACGTTACAAAAAAAATAAAGCTAATAGGTATCCCAACATTTAGGTATTGTGAATTGTATCGAAACTTTCTACAGAATGTTGTGAATTCGGTATCAATTAGAAAAAGAGCAAATCACTTTAAGTACGAGTGACTTTCTTATTTTCTTAGACTCTTTACAATAAAGTATCGTTACCAGGACGTGGACGAGTGTTTTATTTGGAAAAACCGTTCCGCACTTGTAGGAGGCCTGCAAAAAAATAAAATTTTTGACTTAATTCTAGTTTTCATCTGACCTTTTCTTAAATAACCTTTTTAATTAATTTATTAAAACTTATCAACCAGTGTTTTTATGAAATTTTTTAAAAAATCTTTTAAAATTACGATTAATAACGTCATAATTCTTTTTTAAACGTCTTAAAACTTCTTTGTAAGTTGTTATGAAATACGTAGTCTGTACCTTGTAAAAAAAAATTAAAAATTGACAAAGCCTTTTGGTTAATTCATACCGCCACAAGGTGGTTCCACAGAAATTTTTAATTTTAATTTTTTTAGTAAAATAATATAATTCATAAATCAGTTGTATAAATTTGATTTAATAAACAAATTATTGATTTATTCAACTTTGTTAAATGTATTGAATATCATTATTATAATAAAAAAAAATAAAAATTTTAAACCATGGTGTATTTTTAAATCCAGAATGGCTAATTGAATGAATGGCTAATTAACTCAACATCATTGCAATAATTATTTCTGATGTAGTAGGTGGAGTGTAAGCAAAGTTATTACATAAAAACAAAAATTTTACATTTAAGGTCCATAAAGTTTGATTTTACTAGTTTGTAGGGGGTAACTTAAAGTTTGTATTTACTAATTTGTAGGGTGTAACATAGAAAAAAGAGTTGAAAATTAATAAACATTCATTATGTTATCAATATTCTAGTTTATACTTTATATAAACATGTTTTACGCAATTTATATAAGTATTATGGAATTTGAGGAAATTCGGAGATCAAAGCATTTTTTTATGTTGAGATGTTTTGAATTGACAAATTTAGTTGAAATCTTCAATTTTTTAGATATTTATCATTTTTTATTATATTTATTAAGTAAAATATTATATTTATTAAGTAAAAAAAGTTTTAGAAACTTCCATTTATATCCATCCAACCTTTTCAATTTCTTAATAACTCTTTTCTTATTTTTCGTTGTTGACTTTTTTTTATAATATTGTGCAAGATTATTATTTTTTTACTGAGCCGCTTATATCATATTTATTCCAATGTATTATATACGCGATAAGTTTTAAATCGTTAAGATTTAAATCTATCTATCCAGACCAACACGATAAACACCAAACAACCTTCATTTAAAAAAGAACTGAGTTTACACCCAATTCAAGAAAATCCGTCTTTACATAAAAAGACCGATTTAAATTATTTATTAAATGCCTATGACGTCTTTATGAAAAGCAATAAAGAATAAAACTAACTTTTATCAGTCGGGCGAACCGGGGGTTAATTGCAATAGCCCGTTTTAAAAGATAATTCTTATTCCCTTAGATTTTTTATTAACTATAATAATAACACGTCAGTTATAAAAAAAACTTAAAGTACAAAAATAAAACTTGCAAAATTGCAAATAATTTGTTTGTTTGTTAATGATTTAAAATTCTAATTTGCATTTTCTTTTTGGATTGCAAATTAAAAGATATATGAACAATTTAAAATAATGGAAAATAGAAAAATCTTTTTTAAATACAACTAAAAATTCTAAAAAAATCTAAGGACTCTTCAAGTCTCATTCTTTCGAAGTTCTCGCGTTGCAACTTACCCCTTTCGCTGCTGTTCGACCGGGATTAGTTGCAAAGTTTTTTTCGTTTTATTATCAATATTGTAGTATTACTAAGTTTTGCATTATATTCAATAGTGTTGGATTTATCTGTATAATCAATTTTATTTCTCTGAAAATTAAAAAAAAAAATTCGAAGCAACCGAGAACAAATAAAGTTTTTGAAAATGTGCCCCGGATTTTCAAAAGATGCGAAATTTTCACAAAACTTGCGAAAATTTCGCATCTTTATCTACCGTAATAGAATTGTTATTGCGGAAGTTGCACATGCAAAAATGCACATTCCGTAACGCGCTTTACGAAAATATAAATAAATAAAATTCCGTAATAAAGCATTGCGAAAGAAAACTTGCGAAACAAATCATTTCGTAAGAATACTTATGAAATAGTTCCTTACGGAAAAAGCATTCCGGAATGTGCAGTTACGAAAAAGATGCAAAAGATTTTATGTTACGATATATTTAAGATATTAACTGTTAACAGTTTAAATAATAAATATTAAAATTATAAAAAAATGTTGTCAAATGATTCTTCAAATGTTTATACAAATATACCTAATCTATATATATATATATATATATAAATATATATATATATATATATATATATATATATATATATATATATATATATATATATATATATACATATATATATATATATATATATATATATATATATATATATATATATATATATATATATATATATATATATATATATATATACATATATATACAGTAAAATCCCGTTAAGTTGGACTCTCAATGAACAGATAAACAGTATGCCTTTCTTTTTAAAAAGTATAAAGAGGATGTATGATAAACAATTAAATACTTTATTATAAAGAACGAGAGATCTCTCTCGTAAATGATATCAGAAAGAGTAAAAAGAGAAGAAATATATGTGAAACAGCGGGATGTGAACCTGGGTCTACGCGGCCAAATGTCTTAGCTGAATGAGCTATACGTTCATTCAACTAAGTGAATAGTAATATTTATTTAATATATAATTAAGAAACTATATAAAACAGAATTTACAGAAAGAGATACGTATGCAAATAGGATTCTATATATCAGGAAAATGAATAAAAATGTGAACCTTTAGTTGCTTATAATTAATATCTGGACTAAAAAACTAGTTACTTTTAATGGAACACAATAGGCTGTAGGAGCCTCAGGGAAATTTTATTCAGAAATGATTATATTAGACTCAGAGTTAGCTAGAAATTATTACAAAGTATTTAGGACAGATGTCTTGTACAAAAAGCACAAGATTTAAAGCAAAATGATTTATATTATTTGAAAAAGTTGTTTTACGTACATTTCATCATAATTTAAGTAGAACTTAGTAAAGCAAGGGAAACGTGTAGAATTAAGCACAATGAACTCAATCTTAAAAGAATAACTAACAGAAGAGAGGTTGTCGCTATTATGAAGGTGACGAAAGATCTGTAATATAGAACATGGAGGTCAAAAAATGCTATCTTAAGTAAAAAGAGTTTGATGAACAAAAGTTACAATGGCTGCGGGATGCAAACCCGGATCTCTGCGGCGAATTATCACGTATCTAACTGATTGAACTATACGATCTTATACTTAAATTTATATCTTATTAAAATTAAAAAGCAATATTTTCTAAGATCTATACTTCGAAAAGCGTATTCAAACAGGACTCTACATACCTTTAAAATCTGCTAGAACTTTAGTAACGTGCACACTTTTAGAAATTATTGAAATAGGTATATTTTATCAGAAATATGCTTAAGCTAAAGCATATTTTTGAGCCTCTTTTTAATATTTGCTTAAGCATATTCGAACCTGTTTCAAAAATTTCATATGCTTTAAAAAAAAAACATGTATATTCCTACCCATCATTCTTATTTTTAATATACGCAATGAGTTCAAAAAACATCGTTGTATATATTTATTATGGCACGTTTCGTAAGTTTATTTCCGTTAAGAATTCTTTCGTATGTTGTGATCCGAAATACTTTCGTTTCGAAAGAAATTTTATTTTTTATCAATATTTCTAAAAATAAAACCATAAAAATTTAATAGTTATTATACTGAAAATAAAAATTCATTATAAACATTTTGGGATTTAAAGATGTTAATTTTTACAATTAAAATCAGTCTGGAAAACAAATTTTCTTTATAGACTTCAAAACGTCGTTTGGCGAAAATGTTTGTTTCGCAAGTGCGACTTCCGAGACCGCTACTTTCGTATGTTGCAAAATAGTTTTGTTTCGTATCTCAACTTGCGAAATGCTAAATTTCGGAAGTAACTTTTGCGAAATGAACATCGGCATTATTAAATGTTTTGTAACATTCGGTACGAAAAAATGTAATTCCTCGTTCTCAATCTCCTTACGAAAGAATGTTGTTTTTCCGGAATTGTACGAAATCCTCCGGTTAACAACCCTAGATTAAAACTGTTTTAACTGATCACTTCCCGATATTTCGAATTAATGGTTGTGTAAATTTTAATAGCAAACCGATCAACAGTATTAATTCGAAAATTTAATGAAAACGCCTTAAGCTAAAATCAAATTTAATTAAATGATTTTGAATTATTATAGTTGTAGCCGTAAAATATATATACCATATATACATACAGCGAGCAGGGAAAACACCCAACTATAAACAAGCAGTTTTATAAATATTCGTTCCGAATTCTATCCTAAACCAGTGATCTAATCTAATTTTAAAAGAAAGTACAGTGGACTATAAAGTTACTCGCTCGGGTAGTTCATTCCAATATTTTGCTGATCTATTATATAATTGGTTGTGTCTTGGAAAACAGTTTGAAACATATTCACGTCTTATTTTAAGATGGTGACCACGTGACAATGAGTTAATAAATTTTGGTTGATATATATTATTAATTATATCAAATCGATGTATTAGTTAAAAATTTGTATTAGATCGCATCGTAGGCGCCGAAACTCGAGTGATGGTAGATTTAGTCTTTTAAGACTTTCATAGTATTGAAGATTTCTCAAGTTTAAGGCCCATTTTGTTGATTTACGTTAAACAAATTCAACCAAAGCTATGTCAGTTTTTAAATACGGGGCCCAAACAAACACTGCATATTCAAGGTGTGGTCTTACAAGCACTTTATATAATTTGAGAGCTATTTTTTCATCAACGATGGTGAATGTACTTTTTAGCATACCAAGCATTTGTAAAGATTTGGAGACAACTGATTGAATATGTGTACTCCACTTGAGGCTAGATGTAAAAATGACTCCTAAATCGCGCTATTTAATAGAGCTTCTTAGGCTTTTATTTATACCTTAGTTATTTTTCAAAAAGTAGCTATACATAAGATTGGTTTTACCATAATGGATAACACAGCATTTTGAATTGTTTAATTTATGGTGCGATGCTCGGCAAGACGAAATAATATCAAAAGTCTCTATTATATTGGTTACAGAAGACTTACGATGAAGGAAGCCATGTTGATTTGTATAGAGCAGATTGTTATCATTGATGTGCTTCAAGATTTTATTCTTTACAACTTTTTCAAATATTTTGCACGCAACAGAGGTAAGTGAAATAGGGCGATAGTTTTCAGGAAGTAGTTTGTCTCCCTTTTTTATAGATCGGACTAGTATTTGCTAATTTCCAGAGAGTTGGTACTATTCCAGAATAAAAGATTCATAGAAGATTTTTGTAAGCGGAATTGCGAAGCTGTTGGCACATATCTTAAGTATTAAAGGGTGCAATCCGTCAGGTCCAAAAGAATCATTAATAATGTCTGCAATGGAAAGATCCAAGTTGTTATTATAATTGTATTTAGGTTTAACTTCACTATTATTTA